CCAAGTTATCTTTGGTCAGTGTTTGCTGAAACTCTAGGGGGTTCAGTTACATGTGAGAGAGAGAGAAAGGGGGTTCCTGCATGAGTTCCCTTCAAGGAAGACTGTAAGCTGCAATATGAAGGAAGCCCCTTTCTCCCCTGGTTACCTTTGGTCAGCGTTTTATCACAGCAGTACCCTCAGCTAGGAGTGTACTGAAACTCCAGGAGAGAGGGAGAGAGGGAGAGAGAGAGCTGGGGGGTGGAGAGAGGGGGAGAGAGAGGAAGAGAGGGAGGAAGAGTGAGAGAGGAAAGGGAGAGAGAGAGAGAAAGAGAGAGAGAGAGAGAGAGAGCACAAGGAGAGAGAGAGAGAGAGAGAGAGAGAGAGAGAGAGAGAGAGAGAGAGAGAGAGAGAGAGACTTGAACATTTTACTGGGTGACGATGTTACCAAACTATTTCAACAATTGATTTGCACAATATGGTTGAGACAATAAAATTGAAAATAAATTAAAGCCATTTAAACAACTGTTTTGTGGAACAAATATACACGATTTGAATATTTATGATGGTAAAATCAGATTAATTTGCCGAGTCCCCACCCCTCCCCCTTCATCTGTCATCTATGAGGCAAAGCTCTCAGGAGTAAGTTAGCGAGTTTTTGTGGCATGTTTTGCTTAAATATAAATAAATTAATCACATTTTCATGGTTGTAAAATAGTTCATTAAGTAGGGGAGGCAGTGGAAACAGCACCCCACCCTCAAGAAACATATGGCCAGCAATGCAGGCTGAGGAAAATTGAATGTAGTTCAACATCTAAATTAAATGGAATCTCCAAAGAATAAGAAATGATAACAGATTTTATATGGCTCATGACCATGTTTTAAATTGATTTTTAAAAATACTGTTAAATTGAAAACTAAGGTTAAAGTGTTTTAACACGTCCCAGGAGAGTTTGAGTCTGCTGTACACATGAATTCTGTAGGACTGTCCTTCCTACCAAAGTTCTCGATATAGACCCAACATCATCTCTCCTCTCTGTCCACTGCTTCTGTGGACATCATTGTCATTGTCTATGACTCTCCAGTCTCCTTACAAAGACTGTTATTTTCAGCTCACCCAGACTATAGTACTTTTGAGCCGCTGTGGCCAAACAGCACAGGAGAGAAGGGTCTATGTTGGCTCATGTTTCTGGGGACCCCGGAGTATTGCCAGTATTTTCAACCCTCACACGCAACCCCAGATACACCTCTCTAGCCACACCCTTAATTTTATTTATTATTTATTTGTTTGTTTATTATTATTATATTGAACCCAGGGCCTCATCAAGTACCCTGCAACTGGCCTGTATGCCCAAAGCTTTGCTTGTGGTTTTATTTTAAGGCAGGTTTCTTTCCTAAGTTGCCCGGCTGACCTTGAACTCACTCTGTAACTCACTGAAGGCTTGAAACTGGGATCCTCCTGTCTCAGATTCCCATGTTGCCCGGGTTTGGGGCTTCTGCCACCAGGTCTACCTCAGCATCAAGTCTGCAAAGTCCCTTTGCCTATTTAGATAACGCAATGATAGACTCTGAGGATGAGTATGTGTACATCTCTGATGGTTCATTATTCAGACAGCTATTCTACCCCAGGTTTTGTTTTTTCCCCTGTCAAGTTTAGAACACTCAAAACTAGGTCATTGGCCCCGTTTTCTTGGCAAATTTTCCAAAAGGGATTCACTAAGGCTCACCTTGGTTCCAAACACTGTCTGTAAGCTATTGGCTACCAAATTGGTGTCCAGCTTTGAGCTTGCCCTTAAGTTCCACGCTTGTATCCGTATCTAATCTGTCTACATGGTCTACGGTTCACTGGGATGTCCAGTGCAGACGATGAAGTCAATGGGAGACTGTGGCTCCTGTGAGTGGTGAGTGTGGGAGTCGATGCAGAGGGCCAGGCGATGATGTAGGGAGTTACCCTGGTGTCGGACGATGGAGAAGTTAGGGTGTCAGTTAGCCAGGTCTCATGCTAGTGGCCATGGACAGTGCAGCATGCAGCTGGGGGTGAAAGGGGAACTGGACAGGGGAAGTAGGTAGGGCCATGTTACAACCTTCGTGGTTCCCTCTCGCAGTAGCAAGCAGCTATCAAGGGAGTTTAAACAAAATGTGGTGGCCAGCAGCTGCCCCGCTGATGTGCTGCACGGCTAAGGAAATCAGGAAAACCCGAGTAGAAGACACCAGGAAGTCAAGACCAAAGCGTAACCCAGAGGGACAGATCGGCAAAGAGTGAGCCGCACACAAAGGTTGAAGGAAATTGAGCATCATCTAACATTGAACCTCTGTCCTAGACGCTGATCCCATGAACACCCTGAGAAGGACCTGGGCATCAGACGCTAGAAGCTGACAGTCAGTTGAAAGGCACTTGAGTGACCCTCCCCATGAAGGAGAACATGTTCCGTGTCAGCCAGATCACAGCTACATGGGGCTTGTTACCCTTCCGGCGGGAAGGAAGTTTGCTCAGCTAGAGAGACGCTGTTCTGTTTTCCTAAGAGGAAGTTAAGGTTTGATTGTTGCTCACAGGTGATTATCTGTGGCTCAGCGGAGTCCCAGGGTGTCCTTGGCTCTGCCGCGTCTTTGCTCAGTCTCCAGCTGTCCCCTTGATTTCTTGATTTCATTAGGAGATAGGAGCTTGTAATACTGGGGAGAAATGTAAAGCTATTAGTGGGTCGTTGTTGAAGTGAGAGCATGCCCTGTTAAGCTTCTTAGGGAACCTGTGGCAGCCAATGATACAGGGATTAAGCTGTGAGCACGGGCGTGTGTGTGTGTGTGTGTGTGCGCCTAGTGAGTAAATGGGTCATGAACCAACCTCCATGAGGAACTTAAAAGTGATAAGCTCTGTTGGTAAGGGCACATGGGTTGCTGCTAATGTCAGTTATTATTTTTTGACTCTTCTTTTTGCCGTTTTTGTGAGACCAGGAGCACCATTTCTAAATGTGTCCCTGTCACCTTCGATCAGTGTTGGGGTGGACACGCAAGGGGGCTCCTTGGACTTCTGTATAATACTTAGAGTTAGAAGGATAATTGAATATGGTAGGCTAGGGATGCCCAGATCAATCAATCAAAAAATAAAACATCATTTTTTGTGTGTGTCTGTGAAATTAGGCGTGTTTGTGTGCGTGTGTGTGTGTGTGTGTGTGTGTGTGTGTGTGTGTGTGTGTGTGTGTGTATTTGCATGTGCAGGTATGTGCATACTCAAGGCTGCCCATGCCCCTATGTACCCATATTGAGGCCAGAGGAAGACCTCCAGTGTTCAAAAATGTCTGTCCCTGTGGTCCCTGGGTGTCGGATCCCGAGTGCAGGTCTCTATGGCCCATCCAGGCTGCTGGCAAACTCAAGCAAAAATGAACATAACCATGAGCCAGGGCTACCTCTTTTCCCAAGTTCTCTGAGGGTTGTGGGTACACGGGCATGATGCTGAGACCCACACAGGCAAGGGTAGCCTGGCCTTCCTTCCCACGGGGTGCAGTTCTCTGTGTGGTGGCAAAGGACAAGCGTTTTAAGTCCGTGCTTGTCTCGGTTTTCTTGGTTTTTGCAGGGGAAATGCGCACACAGCAGCTTCGCAGGCCCTTTTCGGCTTCAGGCGGCTGTGGCTTGGCGGCTGCTCACGGCTTTCTGTTATCTTTCCTTACCTCCACCTTCACCTCCCTGTGTCTTCGTTTCTAAGAAACCGAGCAGATGACACCTCTCCCTCCGGGTCCTTGTAGCACATCGAGAGGACTTCACACCCGGGCTGGCGAGCCTTTTGCTCAGAAGGAACAGCGGGCTGGGGGGTGTTCCCTTCTTGTTTAACAGATATTTTTAGCTTTTCCAAAAGCTTCTCACTCACTCGGAGTCTTAAAAAGAAAGAAACTCTTCCAAAAATGCAAATGTCCTGACAGAGGTTGAAAAGAGTGTTTTTTCCTCGTCTTCCCCAAACAACCCCTCACTGACATCCACAGGCTGAGGCAGCAAGCTGGGGTGGGGGTGAGTGGTGATATGTTGTGTACCCTAATAAGATTTGCCTGAAGATCAAAGAAGCAGAGCCAGCCCCAGCCACCACCTCTTACCTCACCAACTAACTCCTTGGCCTGAAAGAGCCTCAGCCGAAAGGGCTTCAGCCGAAAAAGCCTTTGGCTCATGTCTCCTCATGCCTTAGATACCTTTTTCTGCCTAGCCATTAAAGGCGTGTGTACTTCCCAAGTACTGGGATTGAAGGTGTGTGCCACCACTGCCTGGCTCTGTTTCTCTTCTAGACTGAATCAATCTCATGTAGTCCAGGGTGGCTTTGAACTCACAAAAATCCAGATGGATCTCTACCTCCCACGTGCTAGGATTAAAGGTGTGTGCCACCACTGCCTGGCCTCTATGTTTAATCTAGTAGCTTGGTCTGTTCTCTGATCTTCATGCAAATTTTATTAGGGTATACAATATTCTTCAGGCGAATTTTATTAGGGTACACAATACATCACCACAGGGGTGCCTCAGCTAGATTCCAGGAACCAGGACAACGGGCTCTGTGAGCTTGTAGTGGATGAGCTTTCTCAATCCCGTTGGTCCTGAGTATTTTGGGATGATCTGTTCATGGTTGTGTGTGTAGGGTAAACGAAGGGTTCATTTCTACCAGCCACCCATGGGCACATGCAGCCCTTTAAAGTCACGGGGCTCTGTTGGTGGCAGCAGGAACGGTCGGAGAGCCTGACCCCAAGGGTGAAACGAAAACAGCAACAAAGGGAAGCAAAGGTTGACATGGTTTTCAAGAGTCACTTCGAGATGGCTCAGAGGTTAAGGATGTGTACTGCTCTTGGGAAGAGTTCCATTCCCGGCACCCACTTTGGGTGGCTCACAACCACCCATACATAACTCCAGCTCCAGGGGACTCAACACCCCCTTCTGGCTTCCACAGGCACCTTTAATCAGGTGTGATTTCCCCTGCATGCACAGACACATACTAAACATAAAATCTTTGAAAGAGTCACTTTGAGAGGTCAGCTGTCACGTGTTCTTGTTTACAGCTCCTGCTGTCTGTTCCACATGCTATCCGAGGTGCCTTGCCCTCAATGATCACTTCTTTCTTGGGTTCCCGTGGTACCAAGTTCACACCAGACATGAATATCACAGAAGACAAGATGGTGAGTCATGTCCACACGTATGTCGGAGGGTAACATAACAAGAGGCCCCTTGCTGACCAGAATCTTACACCTTATCATTGTTCTTATTCTTTCAGATGATCTTAAAGTGGGGTCTAATTCATATTTTTGACTCCCTAGAATTAGGCATAAATCAGACACTCGGTGGCTGCCGGGCTGTTGGATCTCAGACTTTTCAATTTGTGTCTTTCAGAGCTAATTCAAAGCTTGCACATATTCTGAAATAACTATTTGGCCCCGTATCTCGGTGAAAAACAACACGATTTAGTTTCATTTACGTCAAATTCAGAGCATGTTTCGAATGCAGCCTCTCAGAGGGGGGATGTTTAATATTCTTGGGCTTGCGATCGCTTTGCAGAAATTGTTTATATCAACATGGATCTGAGAGAGAAGAATATGTCCCTCCAGCCCTCCATGCTCAGTCCCATTTTCCAGAGGGCCACAGTACAGGTAGACGCCTGAGTGTTTATGTTGGGTGTAGAGGGGAGAGGCAAAGTGTCCCTTTCTCCAGTTCCACACATAGCTCACTTTCTTGCAGCTGAAAGTCTGGGATGACTTCATCCTTGGGTGGAATATTTTGGAGACAGCTTTGTCTATTCACAGTTGTGTCTCAACACTCCGAGGCCAGCTGGGAGACGAGGTCCTTGCATTCACAATATGATAACACTGAGATATATGGACTTAGTTTGAATTCAGAGCAGCCTGTGGGACCCGGGAGAGATGGCAGGTTAGATTCAATGGTAGTTTTGTACTCTGCCTTCTGGGGCTTTTCTTTTGGGAGAGGAGAGGGTCTATGACAGACACTGTGGGGTGCTTTACCTACATTCTTATGGCACTGTTCCAAGGTAGGTACTATCACTCTTACTTTCTGGAAATCAAAGAACATCTTGGTATGCATTCTTAGGTCTTCCAGAAGGTAATGCACATATATTTTGGTAACTAAAAGCATAATCATAATGGACTCATGCACCCCCCTCCCCAACAACAGCAACAACAACAATAACAACAATAAAATGCAAAAACAGGAGCAGGGATCAAAACAATCAAGATTTAAATGAACATTTGGCAGAAAGAAATGGATGAAGTTAGGGGATGAGGACATCACAGGGCTGTCAATCAGTTTGTTAAAGGAGCTAAGGTAGGCACCATAGATGAAGTGAGACAGATTTTTCAACATAATATTTTGGTTGCAATGTGCAGAAACAAAATCTAGAGTTAGGTTCCATAACCAAAGGGGAAATTTAGGACTACAAAAAGGCAGTACTGGAGATAGTAATCCCATGAGACATGCAGAAGCCTTGGAAAGCCCGACATGACTCTCCTCACATGATTTTGGAGCACATTGGTCTGGGCTTTAGATCTTAGGGGGGCAGGCTTCCAAAATGCAAACCTCTTGTGTTAGTTGGCTAGTACTGTCACAGAACGGGGCCACAAACTGGGTCACTCATGCAACAGGATGGAGTTTAGAAGTCAGAGGTCAAGGATTGGTGAGGTGGTTTCTTTCCAAAGAGTCCATGTGGTGGAACCCATCGCAACCTGTCCCCTGGCTTCCAATGGCTTGTTGGCTGTCTCTGGTGGTTACTGGCTATAAAGCATTCCCTCATTCTCGGCCTTCATCCCCATGAGGTTTCCCTGCGTCATCCACCAGCGTCCCGCTGTGCAGCTCTGGCTCTGCATTCAGATTTCCTTCCCATGAGGACTGTGATTGATATACTTGGTTGCCAATTTGGTAGAATCTGGAAGAGATAAGCTTCTGGGTACCCAGGGAGGCATTTTCTTAACTAGGTTATTTGAAGTGGGAGGACCCATCCTGATAACGGGTAGCCCTTCAGTAGCAGCCCAGATAAAAGGGAGTCTGAGGGGAAAAACTCTCTTCTTCCTTTTGCTTCATTGTCTTCCAGTGTGGACTGAAGACCAGGGGCTCCCCAAAAATCCTTCTAGGCTTTCAGCCTCAAGTTGGGAGTGCTGAGGCATCCATCCTCATGGACTGAGTAGCTACTTGGGTTCTCAGCCTTTCCAGTATGAAGACAGCCATTTTTGTCTGCCCAGACCATGTTGTGTAAACAATCTGATAAATCCTCATTTAATATAGGCTCTTTCTATGGGTTCTGATCCTCAGAGAGCAAGATTAATACAAGGATACAGGTTATCTCCTATTCAGACCCATTCTAGATAGTTTTTTTTTAACTGTACCAGCTCTGTAGATGTTGTTTCCAAATACAGACAAATCATAGCCCCTGGAGTCAGGGATTTCAGTATATCTTTGTTGAGATAATCTTCTCATTCAAAACTCCTGAGTCATCTAATATTTTATCTGAAGATGTGTGCTTGAAACCATGAGCTAGAAGGGGCAATTTTTGAAGACACCAAGTAGCAGAGGCCATATTTGTATGATGCTCTCCATGGAAACCTCCGACTCTTTCTGATGAGAACGAATGAGTTTTCCTCTACCCTTCTGTAGAAGGCTTTGTTAGGTTTTATTTAACTCATATTTGATCATGTATAAAGGTTGCTACAGTAGATTATCACAAAAAAGAAAGCTTGGTAGAAAGAATAATTTTCTTTCTTTATTGTAAACTTTATTATAAAAAATTGGCAAAACAAACCATGACACATTGAAATTAACCAGACCCAAAGACTATACATCTCAATAAACTTCTGTAGGGTTAGAATTAACCATTCCAAAGTCACAGAGCTTCACATTGGACTTTACACTGTCACTATTGAATTATTACATGCACTTATCCACCACCATCCCCCTAAAAAAAAAAAATCCATGACAGAGTTAGAACTGGAAAAACAATTAACTTTATATCTTTTTTTTTCCAAAATTCATGCCCATTACCTGCAGTCAGTCCTTCTACATGTTCTAATATTTAGCTTTTCTTGTTCAAGAATTATTTCACTGATATTTTTCACTTCCTTTTTTTTTAATAACTCTCTACATTTCTACCTATCAGTCCCTCAAATTTTTATTTCTGGAATCTTCTTATAGAGAGTAGATGGTAAATAAATACATCTTGATTTCTACTGACCTCCTTGTAAAACATAGATCCTTCACTAAGTGAATGGGAACTTCTTGGTCAATGCTTTGTGTGTAAGTCATAGAAACTCATGGGATCCCCGTGAGTAGGAAACACAAGCGCCCCCCCCCCCCCCATTGCCTTCCCTTTCTTTCTCACGGCTTTCATGAAACTGGAAGCTTTTGCTATGACATGTGCCAGCGCACAGAGTCTCAGGTCGTTAAGCAGAAACTGGCGGACATCTGGGGGTGTGGAGACATTTTGCCCACAGAATATGGCCTCGTTCACTCGGGATGAGTCATGTCTCCAAGTCTTGGCTCAGGAGTGAGTGGTTGGATGTTCCAGGGAATTGTGTCCCTGTCTCCACCAACCATGAAATGCTGTTTTTGGAAGCGGTGAGATTGAGGGATGGTACAGAAAACCCTGTGTTTTTTCTACTAACTGATTTATTTTTTGTCTGTCTGTCTGTTAGTCTGTCTGTCTCTCTCTTTTTTTTTTTTTTTTGATGAGTGTCTCAGTTAGGTTTTCTATTGCTGTGAAGAGACACCATGAGCAAGGCAACTGTCCTAAAATAAAACATTTAATTGGGGGCTTTCTTACAGTTTCAGAGGGTTAGTCCATGATCATCATGGTGTGGAGGGGTGGCCACATGCAGGCAAGGCATGGTGCTGGGGCGGTGACTGAGAGTTTTGGATCCTGATCCACAGGCAGCAGGCAGAGAACCACTTGGCCTGGCATGGGCTTTTGAGACCTCAATGCCCCCCACCCCCCACCCCCCTGACATACTTCCTCTAACAAGGCCACACCTCCTCATCCTTCTCGAATAGTTCACTACTTGGGTGGCCAGTCTAGCTGAATTGATGAGCTCCCTCTGTGTTAAGTGAGAGAACCTTGCCTCAAACACGGAGGTAGAACATGATTAAGAAGAACACCCCACACCAACCTCTCTCCTCCACACCCTCTTTCACACTCAGGCCCATGTGCACACGCATCGGCACACACGTGTACACATGAATACGTATGTACATAGACATGCCTGAAAAATAAATTCAAACAAAATAAGTCCTACTCCAGACTCATATGGTTTCTTTTGAAAAACCTGATAAATTTGACTGAAACTTAGGAGTTACCTATGTCATTTTGGCCCTCTGGTGAAGGGCTTTGTCCTTAAGAGCTTGTCCTTTGTGGTTAAGCTCAGGTTTGCACGGCGTTCACAACTATCGGCTTGCTGAGCAGTGTTGGGAGGTCACTGGGACACCCAGTTCCTTTTCAGTCAGAGGGACAGGAATACCATGACTATTCTCAAGTGGCTGGAGTGTTTTTAAAAACATAGCGCACTCGGAGGCAACCAACCAGATAGGGGTCTTGGTGTGCATGGCATGCACTGGTCCCCAATTTTGCTTCACCTCCATGGCAGACCCTCATGATCATTCTATTGAACCCTCAAAGTGAACATTCATATGATTAGCTGCAGGAGGGAATGGACTCACTTGGGGGGGTTAAGCAGCTGCTCTAGGGTCCCACAGCTGGCCAATGGCAGACCGGGGCTCAGAAGCCAGGGGTGACTGGATTTGTAGCCTCACACATCCCTTCCTGGCACTCACAGAAGATCTGGGTCCTCCCTGCCTGTTCTGTGAGGGGAGGAGTTTGGATACTCTACAACTTTCATCAGGGCAAGTAGTCTGGTAGAGCAAAAGGTGTCATCCAGCCCGTGTGGCGCGGTGCATCATTGACTTCTGTGATATTCTCCCACACTTTCAAAAGTTGTTTCATGTCTTAGTATAGTGGAAAATTCCATCTCTCATCAACAAATAACCTTTCATTAGCTGGAGAGAGCAGTTTACATCCAGTGATTCAGGATTATTTGTTGCTAGTAGGCTTGCCACCCACCTGCGTGTTCCTTTCCGCTAAGTTCCCTCCCTCACACTTTAAGACAGGGAGTTGCAGGGGATCAAACAT